AATTAATGAATATTTTAAAAGAAATAGATTATGGAGAGAATAACAAAATTTTATGCAAATCAACCAATATAATATAATGTAAATATATAAAAGAATATTTATATCAAATAAACCACCTCTGGCGAAGAAACGCTGTATGGTGCAGAATTATTATTATTATTTTTACTTATAAAATTCGTAAAAAAAAATCGTGTGTCGGAAGCAAATTCTTGTTTACACATATGGAAAGAGGAAGTCCCAAGGAAGTTTTCTATCTGATCAGATTTCCCGGAAAAGTCACTGGAGCCAAAATATGGCCTCATATATAAATTTAGGGTCATTTTCAGTACATTTTATTTTTACAAAATCTTCCATATTTCCCGAGTTTTCCAAGATTTTCCAACCATTTTCATTTTATGAATTTACGATCGTAAGCTGAAAACGAATTCAAGAAAATTTCCCGGAAAATTGCAAATCCTGGAAAATTTTCCGAAAATGAACATATCGCTATAAAAGGAAAATGGAAAATCGGGGAAAATTGTGAGAAGTCCCATTCGATCGGGCGGAAAATTTCATGGGGATGGTAGCCGAAGGCCGAGATTTGAGGCCTAAATCCAGCCGTTTCCGAGATATTGCGAAAAAACTGGCTTTGGTACTGATTTTTTCAGTACACTGGTAGAAAATACATGGTAGCTTTAGTCTAATATGCTTCCACAGGCGAGTGTCATCAGCGAACGACTGAAGAGTTGAGTCCCTTATGTGTTTTGGCAAATCAATGATGAACAACAGGAACAATGTAGCACCAATCGGGTATCCTTGTCCAGTTCCCGATGTAACAGAAGGGCTCGACATATCAATTGGGCTTGACATATCATTATCCAATTTCACAATCTGTTGGCGACCATGCAAATAGCCCTTTGACTTGATCCATTTGAGCAATTGTTCATTTAGTCCCATAATAGCCAATTTGCGGATAAGTAAATCGACGTTGACCGAGTCAAAGGCCTTTGCAATATCTAGGTATATTGCATCAGTTTGTGTATGGTTTTCCATGCCCAATATTGCACATGATGTAAACTCAGCTAAATTGGTTATTGTTGATCTTCCTTTCATAAATGCGTGCTGATTGTCATCAATGATATTTTTCATGTGGTAATTAAGGTGTTTTGCAACATGGAGTCAAGCAACTTTGGAATTATGCACTGTAGAGCCACACCACGATAATTCTCAACTTTGGCTCTGAGACCACTTTTGTGTACCGGCCTTACGAATGATTTTTTTCAAATCTCCAGCACAAACCCAATTTCAAGTGATTCTCTTAGCATGTATGTTATTGGCTTTAGCAGTGCCGGAGGGCATTTTTTGATGAAAATATTTGGTATTTCGTCTGATCCTGATACCATATTGTTCGGAAGATTATTTATAGCATCCCAAACTAACTCTTCGGTGATGTCAATCGTAGGAAAGCTAGCACATAGATCTTTCAGCAATGGTTCATCTCCGGAATTATCTTCAATTATGCTAGAATCTGGTTTGGTGTATGCTTTGGCAAAATGTGTTGCGAAAAATTGTGCTATTTCACGACGGTTCCCACTCTTTTTGTCTCCAAGTACCATTTCATTCGGAAGATCACCATTCCTTTTGTTGGAGGCATTCACAAATTCAAAAAACTTCTGTGGCTCTTCGTTGATAAGTTGCTCCCAAACTTGAGAACATAAATTGACCGCATTTGTGCGATGAAAATTATAGCAAAATCCTGTTTTGGCCAATTTTGACGAGAGAAAAGTTGACATTTTTCGAAAATCACTCAAATACAGTACGCCTCCGCAAATTAGAAATGAAATGTCCCGAAACCATTTTCAATTTGCGGAGTTTTCTAATTTCTGCGGTTTTTTCAATTTCATCCAAAAACGGTGTATCAAATGAAATACTGATTTGCTTAATTGAAAACAATATATTGAACACTGTTCAATCAAGTATTGTATGTAAATAAATGCTTATAAGCAGTTATTTTAGTGATTATAAATATATAGTAAGTCTGGTAGTTTATTTTACTGGATAAACTACTCCTCGGAACAAACCGAAATAAATGATGACCGACTATTCTTATTATATCATACGATAGTAAACAGAAAACGTTAGCATTCTATATACAATTTTGTACATGCAAATTCTCTGATGGAACAAATCGGTTTCGATTTGTTAATGATTGATGATTGTCGCAGACAATATGGAACAGATTACTCTTGACTTAATTTTTAACTTCATGGTAAACGTCGAAAATCTCAAGCTGATCTGCTAATATGACTTGATCCATTCAACGAAATGGAAAAGACTTTCATTACGTTTTTTCATTAAAAATGAAGTAAATTCCCCTTTGTCTTGAATGAAATGATTCGGAAACCCCGTAAATTAGAAATGAGCCCCGGAAATTAGAAATTTTTCATACAAATTTTCAAACCTGAAATTCATTTCTAATTATTGAGGTTTTCCAATTCACGGGTTTCCAATTTGCGGAGGCGTACTGTACATGACGTCATAATTTTAAATGCTTTGGATCGATTAAATTATGCTTTATTTATTTAATTAAATTATGTAATACATCATTGCAAAACGGTATTCTTCGAGCGTATGAAACGTGTCCATTTTCTATGATATGTGCCTTGGTTCACTTTTTATTCACTTTTAAACGGAATAACCTCCGCCCAGAATAGGGCTAAGCGTTATGGGGTCAAGGTAGAAAAAAGATCAATTTTACCTCTTTTATTTCGCGGAGATCCAAGGACCCTTCGAAGCTTTGTCCTGTTCGAGTATTCGTTGAATTTACAGATGACCAAATTAACTGTGTTAAAATATAACGTTCTTGATGAATTTTTTAAATATTTGAAAAGTTGCGACAAAAAATGTGTCTTCAGTATATTTTTGTTCTAAAATGCACCATAATTTTTTTATGTTGATTTCACAACAAAACTTTGAAAAAACTTTCAATGTACTTTGAAACGGAAATGTTCTCAAATTAACTTTTTATTGCACCAATACATTGTTATGCTCACCTGGCGAGTTTCACGACGCAACATAAGAGTTTTTTGCTCAGGTCGGCGACGGGAAAAATATTTAGTTATAATGGTACCACGTTCCAACATGCAAACAGTTTGCTCCATTTCCCCTAAACTGGGCAGACTCAACATGCTAAAACAACTTTGTTGCTTATTGCTATCACATGAAGTCAACATATTATGATCGGATATCATCAATATGATCGAATGAATATCGACTTTTCTTGTGATACGAGCAGTAAACGTATCAAATCCGTTGACAACTCAAATTTCCTTATTCAGTTGGAATCAATAAAATTGAAACTATTTTTATATTCTTTTGAAAAAATATTTTTTTTCATTAAAAATTCAAAACTTTTTCTATTTTTTCTCCTTTTTTTCTGACGCTGATGTTTGATAACAATAAATGAATACTTTTTCATATCTCAACGTAGCTTAATTATTAAATTCACTTGGTCGTATTATAGTTATAATGACAACAACATCGTAGATGCAAATGCATGTAAGCACTTGTTCAACAAGTGAAATATTCGAGAAATGTTGTTTGTTGTTATTATGCATATATTATGTGAACCAGAAACACAATCAAATTTAAAATGCCTTTTGCGATTTCAAGGATATATACATATATATATATATATACATATATATATATTGCACAGCAGAAACGAGGAAGGAATAGGTACCAGTAGCTCCGCTATGTAGTTACATCAATTTAATAAAGGTATAAAGGTACGTATTCCGCATACTGTATTGGAATTTCTAATCCATATAGTATATTACTTTTTGTGTCCAAATTGTAACCTGCCAAATGACAGGAAATGAAATTCTGACTTGATGTAAACAAAATGTAAACCAGCCTTAACGATAAATTGCACTTTCCTTTATTTGTATAATTGCAATTATACAATTCAGGTTATTTCAAGTTGCAATATTTATTTCATCATTTTTGGATATTCAACAAGTTATGTACACGTCAAATATTTCAAATAGAAATGAATAAATAATAATTGAATAAATAATAATTTATAGATTCAATTTTGACATTATCTAACAACATGATCATGTTGCTTGGACTGACTTTGGTATTATCAAATATAAGTAATTGGTTTCAAAAATATCCATTGCAACATAACCAATAAAAAAACACGGTATCGCGTGAATACTTCCAAGTTCCTTTCGTTAAAGGAGTAACCCTTTTCCATGCGGTTAAATATAAATCATAAACTGGAAAATTTGTCAGAATATATACTATAAAAAGTTATTGAAACATGGAGTCACTTTGCAATTTAAGATATTCTGTTCGTTTGTTTCGACTGCTTATATTCTCCAAACCAACAAGGTAGGGAACAAATATAAAAATATTATTCAGTTTAAACAATCATTATTCATGCAAAAAAATGATACTTTAGATGGAATCTATGGAGTTGATAAAATTAACGCAATGATTGATATAAAAATTTCAATTAGTCAATAATAAGTGTCTAGAAAATAGACTTATTTTGAAATTGGTCATGTGGATTTTCAACCAATATTTCCATTTCAGTTTCGTACGGAATCTTTCGGGAACAGACAACATTTCATCATCAACATCAGGGAGTGTCGATTCACAAGCTACAAAAAGTGATTCAGAAAAAAAAATGTCAGGCGAAATGAAGTCAGGGGAAGATGATCAAATGAAATATATGAAAGAGAAAAACGATGAGTTATTGGTTTGTTATAAAAATAAACATAGTTTATTGAAATAAAATGTTCCCTTGTTTCCAGGATAAATACAAACGAGCATTAGCGGATGGTGAAAATATGCGACAACGTTTGACCAAGCAAATTCAAGATGCAAAAATGTTTGGGATTCAATCATTTTGTAAAGATTTATTAGAAGTGGCGGATACCCTAGGTCAGGCAACAAAAGCAGTTCCGAAAGAGGAAATTAATAGTGATAATCCGCATTTGAAAAATTTATATGATGGTTTGGTGCTCACAAAAAATTCATTAGAACAAGTCTTCAAAAGACACGGTTTGGAAACTATTGAGCCCCTAAAAGCCAAATTTAATCCAAACTTACATGAAGCTCTATTCCAAAAGGTTAGTAACAACCTTTCTCATTATCTTACTTCGCTTTTTTCTAAAATGGATGATTCTCACTTCATCAGGAATGTAAGGACGTGGAGCCAGGAACAGTTGTTGAAGTAACAAAAATTGGTTACAAACTGCACAATAGGTGTATTCGCCCTGCGCTGGTTGGAGTGTCAAAGAACTAGTTCGAACATAATGCACTTGGAATTACGGACATAGGGTTGCAACTATGTGCATTAATCAAATGAACTATGTGCAAGCGTTATGTTTAGGCGTGTAAATTGTGATTAAAATTTGTTCACCATATGAAATTTGAAACATTAAACTGTGAAAAATCTCTGTTTTCATTCAAAAAGTAAAATTTCGACGTGAATTTTCTAATACAATTCGATAAACGAAGAATTTTATTATTATTATTCTGCACCATACAGCGTTTCTTCGCCAGAGGTGGTTTATTTGGTTTAAATATTTGGTTGCAAATATTGTAAATATACAATATTTATAATAATATATCCATTATTTCTTTAGTTTCTCCAAGTTCTAATTCTTTTAAAATAATCGGTTATTATCTGTTTGACAGCATCTGTACTAACATAACCTGTTTGTGCCCGGTTGAAAAAATTCGAATTTGGCGATGAAATTTTCATACTTAAATAATTCAGCACTAAAAAACAAAACTGCATTGTCAGATTTTCATTTCTGGTCCCCGGATCCACAGGATGACCCTTAGTTTTTGATGTACTAATGCCTCAAAATTTGAAAGGAATCGGTTGAAAATCCGAAATGACGCTCATACACAACGACCAGTACCCTGTCACGCTTAGCGTTACGATATGGTAAAACATGAAGAAAAAAGTATCAAATAAAAAAACTTCTTTCGAAGTAATTCCTCGTGACGAAAGCGAACACAAAACAGCTGATATCAATTTTAAAAAATCATTACGGAGCGATTCTGAAATAAGTTGGAAGAATGCAAAAAAAGCGAATCCAAATCGCTCCGAAATGATTTTTTTTATTTATTTATTTATTTATTTATTTCACCGCCAAAAACTGGCTGAATATTGAGTTTTGCAGGAAAATGACTCCAAGAGTCATGAAAAACCTGATCTTTTGTTTTTATACAATTTAGATTTGTTTGCTTTTACGTACATTGACAAGAGTAACTATATTCCATTATAAATAAATAACAGGTCAAAATAATCACCAACTCAATGGATGGCTATATCACAGTCAATGTTACTAAATTTCAAAAAATTTGTGTAAAATCACAGTTATGCCTCATTAATACTATACATTTAGTAAGGATGAAAGAAAAAAAAACGATTTGTCAGTACTTTAAACTAAAAATTTGACTGTGCTCTTTTCGTACTGATGTGATTTAGTTTGCGCGACTGGTTGAATTTTGGAATGGATCAGCCACTTTGTTTGTGTATTTGCACAATTGTGGAATTTGAGCTCTAATCTGTTTGTTCATCAGATTGTCCTTGATTTTAAGGTAGTTAGTGTGGCGCAAGGTACGAATGCTCTCACCTACTGCTATATCATTGCGTACAGTAGGACAGTTTGCGTATCCATTTACGATATCGTAGAAAAATACAATTGATGTTTTTACTCTCCTTCTTTCTAGTGATGTCATATCGAGGGCTTCGAGTCGCTTGTTGTATTCGGTGATATTATATCCGTTTGCCGCTGTCCGATACTCTCTTCTGGCAAACTGAGTAAATTTCCTCAAAACTCCCTCGATCTTGTCAATATGTACGGCATAAGTTGGTAGCCATACGACGTTACAGTACTCGAGATGAGACTGAACCAATGCGTAGTACAGTGTTTTGAGCGTTTGAACATCGACTATGTCGTAGCAAAATCTCCTGATGAATCCAAGGGCAGCCGTTGCTTTCGATATTATCGCGTCAATGTGCTTGACAAAGCTCAGCTTCTGGTCAATGATGACGCCGAGATCTTTGTGGTCTGAAACGCGCTTGAAAGTAAAATCACCGTATTTGTAATTAGTATCGATAATGTCCTTCCTTTTTGTGGTGATTGTAAGGACGGTGCATTTGTCAAGGTTCAGGTGCAAATTGTTTACGTCACACCACACCTTCAGTTTGTCGATGGCTCGCTGTAGCACCTTAGCATCCGTGCTCGAGTGGATAATTTTGGCGATTTTCACGTCATCGGCGAACAAAGAAATGAACACGTCGTCCATTTCGTCCACTATGTCGTTGATGAACAACAGGAATAGTGTGGGTCCGAGATGACTACCCTGTGGTACGCCAGATGATACGCTGAATTCGTTCGACTCGCTGTTTCCATACTTTTTATTTATTTATTTCACCGCCAAAAACTGGCTGAATATTGGGTTTTGCAGGAAAATGACTCCAAGAGTCATGAAAAACCTGATCTTTTGTTTTTATACAATTTAGTTTGGTTTAGTTTAGTTTGATTTTTACGTACATTGACAAGAGTAAATATATTCCATTAAAATAAATAACAGGTCAAAAAAACAATCACCAACTCAATGGATGGCTATATCACAGTCAATGTTGCTAAATTTACGATAAATTAGTATAAAAATCACAGTTTTGCCTCAATAATTCTATACATTTAGTAAGGATGTAAATACGATTTTTCAGTACTTTAAACTAAAGACTTGGCTGTGCTCTTTTCGTACTGATGAAATGAAGCTTGCGCGACTGGTTGAATTTTTGAATGGAACGGCCACTTTGTTTGCGTATTTGCACAATTGTGGCATTTGAGCTCTAATCTGTTTATCCATCAGATTGTCCTTGATCTTTAGGTAGTTAGTGTGGCGCAAGGTACGAATGCTCTCACCTACTGCTATATCATTGCGAACAGTAGGACAGTTTGCGTATCCATTCACGATATCGTAAGTAAATACAATTGATGCATTTACTCTCCTTCTTTCTAAAGAAGTCATATTCAGGGCTTCGAGCCGCTTGTTGTATTCGGTGATATTATACCCGTTGGCCACTGATCGATACTCTCTTCTGGCAAACTGAGTAAATTTCCTCAAAACACTCTCGATTTTGTCGATATGTACGGCATAAGTTGGTAGCCATACGACGTTACAGTACTCGAGATGAGACTGAACCAATGCGTAATATAGTGTTTTTAGCGTCTGAACATCGGTAATGTCGTAGCAAAATCTCCTGATAAAACCAAGGGCAGCCGTTGCTTTCGATGTAATTGCGTCGATGTGCTTGACAAAACTGAGCTTCTGGTCAATGATGACGCCGAGATCCTTGTGGTCCGAAACGCGCTTGAAGGTAAAATCACCATATTTGTAATTAGTATCGATGATATCCTTCCTTTTCGTGGTGATTGTAAGGACGGCGCATTTGTCAAGGTTCAGGTGCAAATTGTTTACGTCGCACCAAACCTTTAGTTTGTCGATGGCCCTCTGTAGCACTGCAGCATCGATGCTCGAGTGGATGATTTTGGCGATTTTTACATCATCGGCGAATAAGGAAATGAACACGTCGTCCATTTCGTCCACTATGTCATTTATGAACAACAAAAATAGTGTGGGTCCGAGATGACTTCCCTGTGGTACGCCAGATGATACGCTGAATTCGTTCGAGTCGCTGTTTCCATACTTGACGAATTGCGTTCTGTTTGACAGGTATGATTCAATCCAAGCAAGAAGATTGTCTGGTAGATTGAACGATCTGAGTTTCAGAATCAATCTCTTGTGGTTAACTCTGTCAAACGCTTTACTGAAATCCGTGTAGAGAACGTCCACTTGCGCACCTGAATTTATGCCTCTCTGGGCATAGTAGGTAAATTCGGTGAGATTAGATGCAGTGGATCTGGATTTCATAAAGCCGTGTTGCTTTTTGGTGATTTTGTCCTGTATCAGTGACAGAAGTTTGACGTTCACCAAATGCTCAAAGAACTTCGCCACAGTTTGGAGCTTTGCAATGCAACGATAATTTTCAATCTTTGATCTCGCCCCCTTTTTGAAGATGGGTGATACACTCGAGCGCTTCCATTTGTCAGGAAATTGGCCAGTTACCAATGATTCGTTGAAAATCTCAGTGAGTGGAGCCGCCAAATGACTCGCACAGTTTTTCAATATCAACGGGTGCATACCATCGGGACCCGTACCTTTCTTTGTGTTCACGGCTTGTAGCTCTTCAAGCACAAAATTGATGTCGAGCTGGAAATCCTCAGTTTGCTGTGACTCATCGGTAGGCGATTGTTGAACGCCTTGAGACGTTGAGTCATCGTAGTTACTACTGAAGAAATTAGCAAATAGGTTGGCCTGTTCAGTTTCGTTTATTGTGCGCACATCACCAAGTTGCATGACTTTTGGTTTGTTGTCAGTACTCTTCTTCGAGTTTACATATTGCCAAAATCTCGATGCATCATGCTTGAGCGAGGATTTCATTTTCTCCACGTATGTGTTGTACAGTTCCGTGTTCAGTTTATCAAATTCTCGTGATGCCAAAATATACTTCCACTCAAAGTACGGTTTAAAGCCAGACCGTCTGTAACGTTTCCCTGCCTTATTTTTCCTATTTTTCAGTGTTATTAGGAATTTATTTTTCCATGGACACTTTTGTATCGACTTGACGATGTAAGTAGGCACAAATTTAATAATTGCATCGTCCAAAGTGTCGTGTAGCAAATTCACTTTCTCAGTGATTGTCCTTCCATGAAATAATGCGGTGAAGTTTATGCTTGCTAGGTGTTCATTCATACCTGCGTAGTTGGCCCGCTTGAAATTGAAAGCCTTTGTAGTGATATTGGCTTCGGTTGTGTCGTTTCCATGCCATTCAAATGTGGCCAATATCGGTGGATGATGACTTTCAATTTTTTTCTTTAGTGCGTTGGCCTTATCAACACGTTCAATTGTGATGTTGGTGAAATCATTTGTAAAAAACAAATCCAATAGGCGACCCTTTGACTCATTTCGTACATGATTCACCTGATGGACTCCCATGCTCATGAGTCCCTGGATAAAAGTGGCCGTTGATTCTGGTTGAAATTTTGTTGGAATTAAAATGTTGTCATTGTCGCTATCGATTGACCATTCCACATGCGGCATATTAAAATCACCAACAAAAATTAGAACATCTTCTGGATCAGATGCTATTTGATGCATGGCCTCTAAGTGTGAGTCGTAAATTGATTGCGGTGAATTTGGTGGAATGTATGCACAATAGATGTAGATAACGTGTGATTTGGTACTGGCTTTCACACAAACATATTCCAAATCGTCAGCACCGGCAATTTTAATCTCTTCACTGGAGAATTTTTCGTTTTTAGTCGCAATTAGTACCCCACCGCCACGTTGAAATAGTCTGTCCCTACGAAAAACGGAATACGAATCGTCAAAAAATTCAGCATCATAAATATCTTTTCTGAGCCA